TTCCTCTCCTCCTCTCCTCCTCCTACAGAAAAAGGCGGTGGAGCAGTTGAGGAAGGAGCTGTTGGTGAAACAGGAGCCCGAGGCGAAGCTGCAGCTGCACGTCCAAACTCCTCCAGCAGGCGGCGACATAAAGCCGACCAACCTGCTGCAGAGCCAGCAGATACCTGGAGGACTGCAGCAGGTGGGAAACACACAATATACACCCACAGCATCAGGACACCACCGTCAATAAATAGACTTTATAATATCATATAGATATAGATTCAATATTGAACAAAAGGTCCGTTTATGAGAACATAACAAAGACCCTGCAAGAAGACTGCAGTGACTTCCTGTTTACATATCCTTTGATTGGCTGGCGTTCCAGATGTTAGTCTTTACTAGCTAAGAGATTCCTCAAGTTTAAATGAATTAAATAAATATGAATGTAGGTTGAAATCACTGATATTCAACATTGTAAAATCCAGTAAAAGCAGGAAATAAAAGTCTATTTTATTATTCTGGTATCCTCTAAATAAAATCAGTCACACAGAGAGAAGCCCATTGTAGCCACAGTGCAACACAGCGTGCATGCTGGGAAATGTAGGAGTATGGTGGTTGTAGTAGAAGCCGGTTTGCCAACAGATGTCACCTGTTCCTACCAGGTCCGAGCGGCTGACTGACCTGCTGTTAACGGGTTGAATTCTCCCTCCACAGACCCTGACAGTCACGCCGGTCCTCACCACGAAGACTCTACCTCTGGTGCTGAAAGCTGCCGCCACGCCCGCCCTGCCCGGCTCTGTCCTGCCGCAACGCCCGCCTGCTGTCGCTATGGTAACCACAGCTATCACCAAACCCGACTCGCAGAACGCCCCCATCAACCTGCAGGTGGCCAGCAAGCTGACCAATCAGAGCTCGGAGCCCGTGCGACTGGTGACCAAGAACGCCATGGTGGTAAGACCCTCCAGTTCCCGCCGCCGCGCATCATCATCGCCTTCCTCTAATCTGACTTACTGTACAGTACGTGTTGTGTTCTGTAGAGCTGAGGAGAGCTACTGAGTGTAGACGAGCATTGTTAAAGGGTCCCTGCTCTTACTGAAGGTTGTGTCTGTAATGGAAGCCGGCTGCGGGGTGAGTGGTGGCCTTTTACACCCAAACTGTGGCTCCAGATTATCTCACAGCCACAAGTTCATCCAAACAACAGAGGAGGACTAGTAGAGGTCCAAAACCAAGCCAACCAATCAGTCTCCTACACGTCCTTATGGAATATATAGATTGGACTCTCATGTGACAGCAGCAGAGATATCAGTGTAACAGCAGCAGGTAGACGTGTAAAGATTCACTGATACCGGTCAGAAGTAGTTTTTAACGTTATAGCTGCGACTACATCGGTACACAGACCCTTGGATAGATCTGAGTGTACCGCAAACCGGTCGGCGGTCCGATTCTAAAGAATGAATCTGCTGACTGAAGGTCCATTAGCACAGCCTTAGCACAGCGTGAATCGTGAGGTACATAAACAGAGTTCCCACGCATCCTGGAAAACCTGGAAATTTACACACTAGTTTTCCAGTTGTGGAAACACCTGGAAATTAATTAAAATGACCAAATATGCTGGAAATAATCTGTGTTGTCCTGGAACATTTCTGATTGTATTTGAGCTCCTCACATTGAATCGTATCACAGCAACTCTTATGGATCCGTACGGCCTCAGCTTGTGTCTCACACAGACATGTAACAGTAACAGACATGTCGGTGTAACAGCAGCACAGATCCACATCTGCTGTGGTTTTGTCTCAGGTGCAGGCCACCACCACCGCCCAGCCAATCAAAGTTCCTCAGTTTGTCCCTCCTCCTAGACTGACGCCTCGACCCACCTTTCAGCCACAGGTGCGTCCCTGTAAGACCCGCCTCCAAACCCTAACCCCCTCAGACCAGTGTGTGTGGCCCACATGAGGTGACTCGCTCACTCTCCAGCAGAGGGCAGGAGTGCACCAAAGCAAACACTCATGCCTTGCTCCGTGGCACTAAAACATTGTTTGCTCTGTGCTGCCTCTACTCATCTCTTCTCCTCTCGTTGTGCTTTTTTTTAATTTTCCAACTGACCTGTGACCGGGTGGTTTGAAGGTTTCCTGCCTGTGGATGTGTGTGTGAGTGTGTGTGTGTGTGTGTGTGTTTACCTCCTGTGCTGAGAGCTTGTTTTCCTGCAGCTTCTTGGTATTTGTGTTCCTGGCTGTCGGTGTGTTTTAACCCTTTCAGTGGAAACGTTGGTGATGTTTACCTGTGCTGAGTGACGCCACTGGGAGCTCTGGCTGGTTCCATAACAGGATCAATATTAGCATCAGTACTGGGGCCTGTATTAGTATCAGTATTAGTATCAGTGTTAGTATCAGTGTTAGTATCGATAGAAGTATAAAAACTGTTGACAAATAATGAGGCTGTGGTTATATATAATATATATTAGATATTAAAGTTTACATGAAACAGGAAGCAGATCGTTTGCTTCCTCATATTTACGTGTTTCCTGTAAAAACAGACAGAGAGGGATCACAGATATTGATTGGTGTTTACAGCAGCCAATAGCAGCTAGCACTATGAGCTAGTGTCAGCGTGTACCTCCCAGTGAACCCGGGACCGAACACAATCTCTGAGGCTGACAGGGAGTCCAGTCTTGTTGGGTTGGGCTCCTGGCTGACCGAGCTGACAGCAGTTAGCGGTTGGCTACTGATCAATCTGTCCATCAGAAACTCTGTAACTGACCTCGGTACTGTAACGTTGTTCCCTGTCGGTCTCGGAGGCTGTGTTCGATCCCGGTCCGGCTGCTGAGCCCGGTTCTGTCGCCTGCTAACGTCAGATACAGTTAGCAGCAGTTAATTAGATACTTTATTGTAGGGCTGCAACGATTCCTCGAGTGAGTCGATTACAAACAATGATGGAGGAGTGTCCTCGGCCTCGAAGCCTCGTTTAATTAAATGTAAAGCTTTTCAACGTTTTTACCACGGTTTCTTTTCAAGTGTGAACCAAACAAACGTGTTTTTCCGTCACCAGGTTGTTGGTCCCTACAGGTTAGTAAAACGGCGGTTTAAAGTTTATTAAACGGCGGTATTTGTTCAGTAACCAGAGTAATGAATTACCGCCGTCACCGGTCCCCACACAGTTTGGTTTTGAAGAGGTGTCAGGGACTTTTCACCCGGGAACCCAAACGTTGAAAAACAAGTCAATGAACAAACGCAAGGGCAAAAGTGGAAAGTAAAAAAAAGGGGGAAGAGACCAAGAAGGATGGTTGGAAGGTGTGGGATTATTTTTAAACCCTCAAACATTGAAAGGACAAAACGGGCGCCTTTTAAGCCTCAGTCGGTAGGGAAAGCTGGCCCCATATACCGCAGTTTGGCAGCGGCCCTCGGTTTTCAATCCGCCTTGGGGCCCTTGCTGCGTGTCCTCCTTCTTCTCTTTCTCAACCCTTTCCTCTTTCTCTCCACCCTTTCCTTCCCTCTCTACCCTTTCTCCTTCTCTCTTCTCTCTTTTTTCCACCCTCTTTCTCTTCCTCTCTCCCACCCTTCTTCTCTTCTCTCTTTTCTCTTCTTCCTCTCTTCTCCTCCCTCTCTCTTCCTTCTCTCTTTTCACCCTCTCCTTTTCCTTCTCTCTTTTTTCTCCTCTCTCTTCTCCTCTTCTCCTCACTCTTCCCTTCTCTTTCTCTTCTTCCTCTCTCTCTCCCCCTCTCTCTCTCTCTCTCTCTCTCTCCAACCTTCTCTTTCTTTTCCTCTCCTCTTCTCAACCTTCTTCTTTCTTCTCTCCTTCTTCTCTCTCCACCTTTCTTTCCTTCTCTCTCTTTCCAACCTCTCCTCTCTCTTCCAACTCTCCTCTTTCTCCTTCTTCTTCTCCAAACCTTCTTCTTCTTCTCCTCTCCTCCCAACCTTCTTCCTTCTTCTTCTTCCCTTTCCTTCTTCTCTCCCCACCTCTTTCCTTCTCTCCTCTCCAACTCTTCCCTTCTCCTCTCTTCTGTCTCTTTCTCTTCTTCTCTCCCACTTCTCCTCTTCTCTTCTTCTCCACCTTCCTTCCTTCTTCTTCTCCACCTTTTCCCTCTCTTCTTCCCACCTCTTTCCCTCTTCTCTTCTTCTTCCCATCTCTCCTCTCTTCTTTTCCACCCTTCCCTCTTCTTTCCTCCCAAGCTGTTTCTATTTCCATGGTTGGTGTAACATTTAAAAGACGGAAGCTGGAGTACGATAGTCTGAAATTATTTATTTATTTTTTTTATTGGACAATTTTGACTTGAAACGGTTTTTACTTACTTTTTTTATTAATATGTATAATAATAAAATGTCAGTTTTCTTAAAAAAGGAAAAACAAAATTGGTTTGTTTTAATTTACTAAGTGATCTTTTTTCTATTGTATTTTAATTGGCTTTAAAATTAAAGGCAAAAAATATTGTTTTAAATCCGGATTTACTCGAATTAATCGAGGAAAATAATTCGGATAAATACTCGATTACCCAAAATATTCGATAGCCGCAGGCCCTAATTTATTTTGCCCTTCACGGAAACGGTTTGTTCCCCACCGCCAGTCTGTTACGTAAAGCTTCAGACAATACCCCATACGAGGATAACATAGTACAAAACCACGGACCATTTTAACAAACAAAGGGGAAATAAACACCTCCAATGCAGGCCCAAACATTTAGCCACATTAAAACCCCTCCCTGTCCTTGAGTTGTAGCAACCCACAACAGGGCCGTTTTTACTGAAAGCTGAGGGCAAAAAGGCCGGAGACGTCAGAGGGAAAAACCCAATGGAAATATTTTTCTCCATAAAAATTGGTTTCCAGTTTCCACCAGAATAGGGAAACCGTTAGGGATTCTTGGGGGACTCCCCTTAGTTTCTTTTCCTCTTTAATATTCTTCTTGGGTTATTAAAACGACGTCGTAGCAGGAATTTTTCAAGTAGCGGTTTTTTTTCAAGTCTGAGACAGAGGGGGGCTCCAAACCGTGCGTTTTAACCCACAGGTCGGGGTTCACTTTTTGGTGCTGTTTTTCTGAAATGGCTTGTCTTGTGTCCCCAAACCCCAAGGGTCAGGCCAAAAACCTTGGGCCCCAAACCCACCCACCAAACGGTTCCCCCAATCGCCCCGGCCCCTCCCCCGCCCCATGATTGGGCCCCCCAGGTTGGCCTCCACGGCACAGAGATCGAGATTAGGCTAGGAGGACCACTATCCATATCAAGCTATTATCGTCCATGAGCAGCTGCCTCCTGAGAGAGCAACAGCACGCGCAAAGCGTATCCCACCAAGGAGGCTCTCCACGATCGGTTTTAGTCCTTTTAAAACTGAGACGGGTGAATATCGAAATATTCCCCTGGCATAAGGAGAAAATTCACCGGCTCCAACACATGAATATACAGGGCCATCGTTTCAATCACCATACCGGATGAAGCGTCTCTCTTAATGAAAAATTAACGCTACCCCTCCCCACTCCCGCTCCGTGTATCCGTGGCCCCCTTCCCCGCCCACGTGTGTCTCTAACACCATAACATTCTCCCTCTCCACCTCAAATTCTCCCCCATACATTTAACACCTCTCCCCATCCCGTATTGTTGTATTGTTAAGAGAAAAGATACAAAAACAGTGGACCCACCAATTCTGAGAGTCACGCACCCAGCAAGATAACAGCAAGGAGAGAGAATCCATATTTTCCAATTTAATTGAATAAGGGTCCTATCATATGATTCCATAAGAATTATCTATTTATTCCTTAATGTGAATACTCCCCTCTGCAAAAAGAATATTTTCAATTTCATTTCCATGTTTTAAAACACCAGGCTAAACCCTGTATACTCTATATTCCAGCTGTACTTGCTGCTCGTCTCTTCACATGTGCTCTTGGTAAAAGTTAGATACAAAGAATCTGAGCTTTACTTCTCATCCTATGCACTCGTGCTAATGAGGTAATAGGTTGACCATGGTCAATTAAGGGCCAAAAGGACTAATAAGACATGATAATTCTTCCTCTAGTCTAAATGGATGACATTCGATATAGTTTGATCCCAATTGATCTATTGAGCAACTATAAGACCAAACTTAGGCTCAATAAGTCTAATCCAATGATAATTGATTATACTGAAGTTAACATGAACATGTTATATATTTTTATAGTAAACCGAATGATTGTTAACTGGATCATTCAAGGTACAAGACTCAACGTCTATCAATTATCAAAAAATAGAGAATGTTATAGATTACTTTGTTTTTGTTTGTTTGTTTTAGTTTTCTTTAATGTTACACTGAATGATTAAAGGATCTACTTAGTTATAAATATTAGCCTTGCTGGAACAATTATGCACACGCGCTAAGTACGTTAATAATAGGTCTTATAAAGTATGTATGGAAATCTAACTGCATTGACTCTATCTTAAGAATGTACACATTCAATAGTATTGCCTTGAGGCTTTAAAACAACCTGATGGTCATCATTCATTACTGTACTTATGTAGCTAAATGTTTTGAACGTTTTCTTTCCCAACACTTGCCCCTTTCCTATCTACCCGCTACACCCTGACAAGTACGCCTTGCCTAAACGCTGCGTCATACTGTGCACCAAATAAGTAAATTGTCAGGATAACTGAGCGTGGAGGCAAAGCAAAAAGCTAGCTGGTATAGACCGAACAGTTCATGACATTCACCGACCTACCCATTCCAAAACCCTTCCGTTTATTCTTTTCCTTCCCCTTTCCCCAGTTTATTCTCAAGATAATAGTAAATATCACAGGAGGCATCACACAATCAACCCAAATCTTGAGCTCGAAAGGTAGGAGACCTGCACCGAACAAGGGAGCATCCCAGACTTGTCAACATGGGCGGGGTTGGCAGAAGATATTGCAGTATTCATAAGCCTCCAGGAA